CAATTTTCCCTGATTAAAATTAATATTTGCTCAGCAAAAGCCTAAAAACTGCAGAGGATCATTATAGATTGACAATGATAACTGAGCCCGATAGTCTGGTGACTTTAGTTATTAGGCTATTTCTTTTTTCTGGCCTGTGATGCAGATCTAGGCTAGATAAAGAGACCTGAAAATGCTGGGAACAGTTTTTGTTTGATTGTTTTGTGTTTTTTTTCCAGCTATCATTCCTATCACCATCAACTGGCTATGTGCTGGCTACGTGATCTGCTCCCCCAGCTAATGTTGCTTAAACCATTTAAATGGTTAAATATCAGTTGGATAATTAAAGTAAGCCCGCAGGAAAATAACAAAATGCAAACAATCTGATCTTTTGATCAGCTCTTCACATTAAAACAGTTTGCTTGCATCATTGTTTTGTCTTCCTTACTTAAATCTTTATTTTTGTTTTAGTGCAGACTTCATCTCTGCCTATGGTGGTATGGTACACTACTATTTAACAAATGGAAGTCATCTAATTGTGTTCCCTCAGCACGTCCTTTCAATCTCACTTTATCAGAACAGATCAGAAAAAAGATACAATGCAAGGAAAGCAGAAAAAATGTGATTTTTTTTTTTTTTAAAATATTAATTTTGTGATTTTAATTTTTAATACATTGGTGCCCAGTGGTAAAAAGGTGACATTTAGTGATCACAAGTACAAACATGTACAGAAACAGCCAAATAGAATGCACAAATCTAAATAGCACAACAATTAAAACTCTCATCTCCTTGTGTTTAAAATTGTGTCCCACAGAGTTTATTCTTTTGTCCTATAATGGAGTGTGTTTTTCTTTGTACACTTCTGTTTGGAGGAATTGGGTATATACTGTACAGCTAGGGATTTATGGGTAAAACTTTAATTAATTTTTTTTTTTTAAGGTTATCATCCCCATGGGCTGCCATTGTAGAAAAATAAATAAATTATTTAAGAGGAAATGGAGAGATGTGTCAAATTGTTTTTCTTCACTGTGGGGTCCTCGCTCTTCTCATTTTCCATGCAGAGTACAGCTCCCCACTTTGCACAGTCTCTCCTCAGTTTAGAGTCAAAGTCTGTGGGCGGCCTCTTGTGTAGAGATACGGTGGTTCCATGCCAATCCTCTACATGTGTGGGCTCAGGTGAAGTAATGTGGAAGTGATCAGGTGGATGTAGGTCAGGTGGGCATGATGTGGCGGATGCAGCAGCAGTCCCAATACTGAGCTCTACAGCCAGAGATTAAAAGATCCCTGAGTCAAACATGGAGGCCTGGACACACAGAGAGCAGTGGGTTAGGACACACAAGCCCCTGTCGGATTAAAGACTTTCCTCTTCTGTCACCATACACCAAAATGACTACATTCCATTTTCTTGAAAGCTATGTTGACCTTGGGTTTTGTTTGTTTTTGTTTTCATGCAAAACTCCTCTTTTCTTTAATACAGAAATGAGTACAGCAGTATCTACTACAAATATGAGGTAACAAAGAGTGTAACTATTCATCTAACTTGGGTAAATTAATTTTCAGACCTTCATGTCTACAACAAATTCAGAGATAGCAAAGGTCTACAAGTTTTTTTTTTTAAATCTGCCTTTGAATTGAAATATGCTAACCTGGCCTTACATCTGTCTAACAGTTATACTTGGTTTAAACAAAGACAGATTCTTTTTTCTACTTTCATTTGAATTGTTTATTGAGGCCTAAGGTGGTAAAAGTATGCAGTATTAACCTTAAAAAAAAGTTTAAAAGAAAAGTAGATTAAATTTTGTGTAGCAGAAATATTTACTGTTTTTTCAGACCCTGCTTGATGTGCAACCCCGGGATCCCAGCCCCCACTTTGGAAACCACACATATAATGTCTACCTAAAAAGGGAAAAGGTTTCTTCCTGTGAGCCCTTTGTTGCTAAAAAGATAAAGATAAAAAGACGCCAATGATATTTGTCTTTCAGTTTTACCAAAAAAAAAAAAAAAAAAAAAAAACAGCTGACTAGCTTGCAATCACATTGTCCCTCATCCAGTCTTTTTTGGTGAATGGAGTTTGTTCAGTTGTCCACGATACTTTAGTTCAGTTGTCATCAGCTGACTTAAGGTAAGTATGGAATTGAAAGGTGGATCTTGACTAAGTATTATTTTGTTGTTGAGCTGTTGTTTCAAAGACAAATAGGTCAAAGGTGAAGGTAAAAGTGTTTATTTGTCATAAGCACAGTTAGGAAATGTGTTTCCCTGCACAATGAAATTCTTACTTTGCCATCCACATAAATGCCACATAATACAAGTGAAATATAAAGTAGAATATAAGGTAGATGAGCAATAACACAAATCTAAATAGGCAGTAAAATCACAAATCTAAGGCACTTTAAAGCAGCAAGTGAAGGAAGCAAATAAAAATACAACAAGAACATAATATAACGCAGAGAGAATATACGTATGCTATGTGGGAGCTGTGGAGTGCAAATACTCAGCAGTGAATGTGCAATTATACATGTGCAAAATGAGTATGTAAATAGTACAGATGGAATTACATGAGGTAGATCCTGAGTCAGCT